GCCTGGCTCCTCAACCCGCTGCCCATGGCCGTCTCCAGCCGCGGCAACGCAGAGGCCCTGGTCGCGCTGCTCGTCCTCGCCACCCTGTACTTCTTGGAGGGGGGGAGTGTAGGAAAGGCCGCGCTCTGCTACGGGCTGGCTGTGCACGTGAAAATATACCCCCTGACATACGCGCTGCCCATAGCGCTCCACCTGCAGAGCAGACGGGGCGGCGGGGAACGGCCGGCGGCTGCGTGGTGTGACAAAAAAGAGAACTTTACTTTCGTAGCACGCCTCTGGCGGGTTTTTGTAAAGATGCTGAACCGTGATGTGCTGATTTTTGGAACGGTTGCTGGATCTGTGCTGGCTGCCTTGACGGCTGCATTTTACCATCTCTATGGCTGGGAGTTTTTGGAGCATGCCTACCTCTACCACCTGACCAGGAGGGATACCCGCCATAATTTCTCTCCCTATTTCTACATGTTGTATCTAACTGCAGAGAGCAAATGGAGTTTTGCCCTTGGACTTGCAGCTTTTCTGCCCCAGCTAGTTTTGCTCCTGGTTGTGTCCATAGCATTTTACAGAGACCTTGCCTTCTGTTGTTTCCTACATACCTCTATTTTTGTGAGCTTTAACAAAGTATGCACGTCCCAGTACTTTGTCTGGTATCTCTGCCTTTTGCCCCTCATAATGCCTAGTGTTAAGATGTCCTGGCGTCGTGGTGTGCTGCTTCTCTTTCTGTGGTTTGTTGGACAAGGCCTATGGCTTGCTCCTGCGTACTTTCTGGAGTTCAAAGGCTATAACACTTTTTTATTTATATGGTTGGCAGGCTTACTTTTCCTTTTTATTAATAGCCTCATAATTGTTCAGATAATTTCACATTATCAAAAAGAAGCACAAGTTGCAAAAAACCTCAAACAACGGTAATAAACAGGCCAAAACCTAGAAACAGCTCTACTGTCTTCACTGAGGCTTTTCATACCACCAGCACTTTGTTTAATGTAAATGCGTGTACATGGTACTAAAGTATGTTGTATGGAAATGATACTCTTTCAGGGCTGTGGGGGCACTGACCAGCCTTAAGTGCCTTAAGCAGTATCTGCAGGTGTACCTGTCTCCCACGTTGACCTTGAAACTGCCTTGTAACCTTCTCTTCAGCCCTGCATCCTGCTACTCCTGACTGGACCAGTTCATCACTTCCCATATGTGGGGCTGTGAGTGGACTCTGTTACCAGCACCCGTGTCCACCTGCTGCCTCCAGACACAGCGTGACTGTGCCCTGGTCAGCGAGAATATAGCCTGTGCTGGGGTCACCATCGGCTCCTGATTGTACCCTCTCATCTTCTTGCTCCCTGGCACCCTTTTTCTTATTGTTGCTTTATTTGATGAGAACTGTGGCGTCTGTCTAGGAAGACACAGGTGATTATAAAAGGATGTTGGAGTTTGGCAGTCTTGTACATTGCAGTAGGTGGGCGGGGTGTTTTGCAAGGGTTAAGCTAATGAACGAATATAAGGCAATTGCTTAATATGCACACGCATTTTTTCTTTTCATAGCAGCGTTTTAGCTATATGGTCTTTGTGGCCTGTACCTGGTCTTTCTTGAACAAAGCGAGAAAAAAGTGGTTATTTCATACAAGTCATTAACTTCTTGAAACAATTTCTTTTAGAATTCAGATATGCCTGCTCATTCAGATACTTATTTTTGCCTTCTCAGTATGGTTTGAATTTTTGAACAGATTTGTTCCCCTTGCCATGGAGGAAGACTTTTCCAAATACCTGTCTTGGGTCAGAGAGATGTATAAGGCAAAAATATTTGTGTTCCTTACTGCTACAATGTAGAAAAGAGGCCACTACTTTAAACTGCAGTTAATTAATAGTTATTGTGGATGTTAGCAAATGCAAAGAGGCAAAGTACAGCTAGAAAGGCACCTGCATCCCAAAAGCACTAGAGTTTATACCAAAAAAGTAATTGGAAATGTAGTTTCTCAGTAGCTTAATATCTCTACTACTTAAAATAAATGAAAAAGAAGTTGAGGAAGTGGAGCAGTTGCCAGAAGAAAAGGAAAGTTTTAAAATAGGAAGCTCTACAACCTGTCAAAATGAGGTATTTATTCCCAGATAAGACTGAGAAGATGTGGAATTGAGTGTCAGGTGGTAGTGAGAGAAGTTCAGAGCCATTTCGAAGTCAACACTCTAAAGAACATCCTACGAGAGGTCTGGTGTACACAGCCCTTGACAGAGGTGGAAACTAGCAATGTATTTTTTTAATAAAATTTTGAGTTTAAATAAGTTTGGCATATGTCAAATTTAAGAATTTTCATATTTGCCTCAGCTTTTATTTACATCCTAATGGGAAAGTGAAGCCCTTGGTGTATAACGTGGAGCAGAGCTTCAGGCCAAAATAACCACTCGGTGGGTTTCCCAGTGTTGTCAGTGGGAAAGGATGTAGCCAAGCGGGTTTGCCTTCCAGGTTCATTCTTGCCATGCTGCCTCTGTGAATCGTGCGGTTTCCTGAGGCAGCCCACTTCCCCAGTGCTGCAGTGGCTCCCTGCTTTCTTATGCACAGGGTTTTCTTTCCTGGTTGTAGCTCTACCTTGTGAGGCTGAACTGCAGTGTTCTGATCTGTGAATTTTTCATGTTGCTTCTGGTCCCCACTGAGGTGGTTATGTGAAAGGAGAGGAAGCCTCTGAGCCCCAACAGTCCAGAGCCAAAGGGGGCATTACCAGGAGGTGTGACAACGTCCTTACACAGTTTTGGCCTAGTTCAGCTGTTAGGAGGAAGGATAATTTCCCCATGCAGCACCGTGGGGGGTGATTCTGCTCCCCTGCTGGAAGGCATTCTGGTTTTCCCTGCCAGTCTGCACTCACACTCGCCTTCGCATTGGGAAGATCCTGCCAGCCTCTTCTTTGGAAATCCAGAAATTCGATAAGGCAATGAATATATTTTTGACAAACTCTTTTGGTTTTTCAGGCAGGTCATACAGATGTGGCACTAATTTCCTTCCCCTGGTTCAGCCTGGGTTGAAGAGGGAAGGAGGAAAGACTTCTCTAGCACCAGCTTGTTGCCCTCTTCCACAGGAGGTTTATCAGTCAAAAGACTGGTGGCACAAGTCGCTTTCAGACATGATTTAGTTTTATATTAATCACCAAAACATTTTGTATGTGTTTTGAGTGTATGAAGAGACATTGTTCTGTGTGGTTTTATTTTCCGAGTCAGAGCTTGATATGCCCAGTTAGTGTGTCACCAGAAGACCGAAGAGGCTGTTCTGTGCCAATACCTCTATTTGCCCCATCCCAGCATGAAGGCAATAGCTCATTTTCCCTTGCGACTGATCTATTACTCATTATACATTTTTCTGTTGCAAATAGCATGTTTTCTTCCCCTAAAATGATGTTTCATATTTCTTTAAGAGACTTAATTATGCTGTTCCCAGATCTTTGCACTCCCTTATTTTTTTCCTCCTGTTGGCAAAGAAAGCAAATGAAAGCCAAAAGGTGTTTCCACCTACAAAACCCTTTTTTTTAAAAGAAATGTATTTTGAGTTACTGTATTCATGACAGGAATATAATGGGGTTTAGGTGGAAAGTAATTTCCTTATGAAAAATACATTCTCGATTCATTAACAGCTAAATCATTTTGAGGCCTTCAGAAGACAAGTTCTGCAGCAACAGAGACTGAAGACTACCATCCCCTTGCAGGTCAATATCAGCCCTTCAGCGATGATTTGATAAAGTCATGCATAAATAAGTTATAAAAAGGCTTTATATAAGCTCAGATTTACAGTCACAAATTTAGTAATCCAGTATGAGTTCCTCTTTTTACAGTTGTTGTTTTGTAAGCTAGTCACCAAAATGTGTTTGGGATTTAGAAGTAATTCACTGACTCATAAAAAGCTGGATGGGAGAAATGAACTGAAAGACGAACAGGAGAGATAATTTGAGTTTAGTTCTTGCAAATCGCTTTAGATAGTTAAGTGGAATTGAATAACTATTCACTGATAGCATTAAATCAAAATAATTGTAGTTGAGTGCAGAACAGGTTATAATTCATGAACAAGTCATGGTGATTCATTATAATGCTCTTAAAATTTACCAAATTAATTTCCTATGGAACATTCATTGCTTTTGATGGTGTTCATATTCTTTTGCTTAATAATAATTTTATGTTCATTTATCATCTGGTAATTAGGAACTGAACCAGAATTTCCTAATTCTGGAAATTAGGAACTCTGTATGCTAGCTTTCGTTCCCTACCTGGGTTGCAAAATTGCTTTATAAAAAGTTGATGTTCCCAATGAAATGTGTCTCATTTGCACACATTTTTCACACTGCACTGAAACCAGCCCTGCAGTGCAAAGTGCAAGATGTGAAAGATGAAGTGAAAAGAAGTACCAAGACAAAAAACATTTTTGCCTTGCTTTTTATACCACAGCCTATAGTCCAAAGGCTCCTGGCTGGACTTCTGTCATAGCTTCAGCATCTAACAATGATTTGCTGTAAAATTTATAAAAGGAATTACTCAAATAACAAGGTAAACAAAAATACAATAACAAGTGTTTAAGTTTTAGTATGAGCATGCTGTATTACCATCTCTGACAGAATAACCATGTACTTGGTCCTTATTAAGTAACTGCCCTGTCTGTGTTACTAGCATTGTATTGACTCCTGTAATAGTAAAGGCAGCAATTATGTGCTCTGAACTGAGCTTTCTCAAAGAAACCCTTGAAGCTTCTATATTTAACAGCAGGGTGAAACTCCAGCATTTTTCCTAAGGTTTTATAGAGAAAGCAAATGTTTGAGCAAATTGTGCCCCTTTTTTAGCTGAGAATAATGAGGCGTGTATTTTAAAAGGGCTGCAGAAATACATAGTGAACACATGGAACTCAAAAAGTATGTATTTCCCAAAGACAGCTGCAGGATGCATACCCTACTGATAGCATCATTATGGAATAGGATTATCCTGAATTTAGGACAAACCCCTTAGACTGAAACCCAAACACTCATGCAACTTTCTTGCTTAAGGGCATGTTTATGTGCATCATATACACAAACCTAAACATTTACTTGCACGATACAGAAGCAAAGAGTCCCAGTCAAGTGACCTTCGAATAACATGATTTTTCAGAGCTGCCCTGTGTAAAACAGGTTTTTTAAGTGTTTCCTATATTCAGTACTCAGAATCTCTTAGTGACTTTAAAACTTGAATCCCATAAATTTTGATGCATATAGAAAGTAAAACCTATGCAGCAGGGATCTTGAGTTGTAACAGATGTGTTCAAAAACCAAGTAATTCTGACTATATTTGAAGGTACACATTCCACCAGTGTCCTGATGTTCTTCATTACAGCAGTCTGCACTGGTCACATTGTTGGTGTAGGAGTCTTTATGCATGATAATTGAGGTCAGAGACCTATATTTTTTATGAAGTAAAAATATCAGAAAGTTAATGAAGCAGTACCATTTGTTTTTGTTTTTTTTTAAATCACTTTTCTGTAAGTACCTTAAAAAAGCCATGCAATAGATCAATGCAATCCATGCATTTTTTAATGACTTTTAAGTCTCTTTTTCATTGGACACTATCCAGTATATACAAAGAAGACCAACATTTGACAGTTTTTAATGCTATAATAGTATCTTGATTCAGCAGGATTCCTCATGACTCTAGCATGTGCTGAGGCAGGCATGGGTTTCTGCAGAAACAAGAGGTTGCTTATTGGAGGCAATCTTAATGTGTAAATAAACCTTTAGCTTCAGCCTCTTCATATTCTTAGAGCTTAACTTTGAGCCTTTAACATTCTCTTCAGACAAAACATTTCATAGCTTGCACATAAAGACATGACAGCTAAGAGATCCTCACTATTTCCTATGGAAATTGTGGGGAAGCAAGCTAGAAAATCTGAAAGAAATATCTAAAGGAAATGTGTGTATCTGATCATGTATGAAGACAGAACTTCAGCCTTGGAAATGAGCTAAAATGCAGACAACTCGAACAGTAAGTCCGTACTGTGAAACCTGCATTATTTCTATGAAGGGTATTCTATCAAGTGTGCTTTCCATTTTCACAGGAGGAAAATGGGATCTTGGTAGCAATTGTCAGTCTGGATGAACATAACTTTGCTTCCTTCACATTATCATAAGCGGGTCTGTAGGATGTTGCATCATACAGTAGCACTTGTGGAGTTGTACAGGTGTGACTTGTATAAGCTGTTAATAGGCAATATTGTTGGTGTAGCAAGAGAGTATTAGTGAGCAGTCACTCTGAAACTGCTTTATGAAAGTTAATTCAAGTAAAATCTGATTTCTGCTTCACAAGTCAGCAGCTGTGCTAATAGAGATGGTAGTGTTTTGACAGTAATTTTCCACGGAGAGCTGCACTCTGTGGCCCATATGCTTCCATTCTGTGCAAAAGAACATTAATTCAAATCCCCTGGTGATCTGACAGTCAACATTTTTTTAATCTATCCCATGTCCCTCCCACTGATCCAATAGATTAAATTAGCCAGAAAGCAGGTTTAGAAAATGAAGTGGAAAACAAAGTATGATTGCCCTTCCTTTATTTTTCTACTATGTAGTGTGAATATGTTGAATAATTAAGATTACCTTTTGGAACACAGCCCCGTTTGAGCTAGGTGTTAGAATATTTCATTAATACAAGGTGTTTCACCTAAAAGCACCTGAAGGAATATTGACTGAATGGGCTTTTGTCAAATGATAGTAAAACTACTGATAGTTTATGTCAGCTTCAATATTGGTACTCTTTTGCCATATCTTTTCATTATTACAACAATATAACAACTCAAAATTTAACCAAAAATAGCCATACTTGTAAATTCTAGTTTCCAGCTTCCCTTACTCAAAGAGTTTGGAGGATACACATAGCCATAAACTCAGTAAAGGAGAACAAATGCTATATCTCATAGCATTAATAATGAATAATTATTTTTTCCCACAGCTGACATCTTTCTGAAGAAAGTAGTACCTTTATTTTTTTTTATGCACAGTCTGGAATTTCACATGAGTAACAAGTACTTCTCCACCTTAAAAGTGTCAGATGTATTTGAAAATAGATTTTAATTACCATTAGCACTTCCAAGTTTAGTGCTGGCAACAACCACCTTGTTAATTCTAGCAGTACAGGAACTGAAGTCATGACCAATTTTCCTTCATGCTCTAATAAACTGGTTGATTAAGTATAAGAAAGTTTGTTGCTGGAAGTGAACCAAATGTTGTTTGTTCACTGGAAAGAAATGCTGCATGGCTAGGGCCAAAATTTACATGTGCAAGACAGAGTGAAGTGATCAAGAAATAAGGGCAAAAGTGAGACCCTGGAGACCTTGACTTGATTCTGCCACTAATTTATCAGTGATTTCAGTTTGCTATGCTGTTTGCCTCTGCCACTTTTGAATGCTTGATCCATTTAAATGACAACTTATTCAAGCCAAGATGTGTCTCCTCATCCATTCCTGTAACATGGTGCCATGAAGTGATTGCAGTCTTGTTTGAAACAGTTATGAGCCTGATTGTTAGTAAACGATAAACACTTAACAAAAGACGTTTTGATTAAAACAATATTCAAAATACTTTTTTTTTTTTTTGCATATATTTAAACCTTTTCTGCAGAATATGTTAAGTTCTCATATGCATTCCAGCATTGCATTTGTATGAGAGGGTGGACTACTGCTGAAGCTAAAAGAAGATCTGGAAGCAGATTAACAGCACTCATGGTAAAAAAGCTAAACAATTAAGAAAAATCATTTAGAAAATTCTAGTGTAGTTGATATCTCAAGTAAGTAAGATTTTACTATTAGTCGTCTGCTTAGATTATATTGGAAGTTCATACTGAAAATTAGGGAAATGAAACCTCAGGCAGTTCTGCAGCTGGTATAAATAGTTACTGTTGCCTCAGATATGAGAAATAATGGCTGGAGAACTGTTTCTGTGTATTCATGAAGCATCCTATATATTATGATGTTATCCAAGAAAAAGTTACTAGTTGTGTGGCACTATAAAGGCAAATTACAATTCTGTGTTCAGATACAGGTGAAACAATGAATTCTTTCACCTTGGTCTTTCTCCAAAGCTTTCATTAAAAGATGCGCAGATTACCAAAATTAAATCCAGACCAGATGTGCTGTGCCAGAAACAGTTACAGGGTGCTCTAAATTTGCTTCAGCCTTCTAAGCTTCTCAAACAAGTGCATGCTCAGTGTGGGAGACCGTAGGTGGTGGGAATGCACAGATGCAAACTTCCCCACAGCATACCCAGAAGAGATTTTTTCCATGGTTCTTAAGGCACCCAGATGTTGCCTTAAGCTATACTATAATAGCAATATATATTTATTCATATATCTATACATATCTTAAAGATACATATATATCCTATATAAATATATATATCCTCATCTGTAATAGTACAACAGCAAATTCAGGGACTTCATGCCCACCACAACTGGATAAGCATCTAAGGACATAGGAAGTGGCCCCTTTTGGGTTACAGGGCCATGTCAGGCCCTTTACCAGGACGTATCAATAGCCTGAGAGTGAAGGGGCAGATATGCCTCTTAGTAAAATGGATGATGACAGCCACTAATGTGTTACTTTATAATGTGGAATCCCAATTGCTTTTTAGCAGTGGAGTCTGGCATGACCACATATGCAAAATGAGAAGCATGCAAGTAAGTGTGACTCAGAGCAAAAAGTCATTTTCATTGTATTTATTTCATTTATCATGTGAGATCTAGAAAATGTTGAAAGTCTAGAATTGTGTCAGTAGAGAAAACTGATGTGGAGACTGAACAATGTTTGATCCTTCACTAAGAAGTAACTGACACCAGCCCCAGTTCCCTTGTTATATATGTTCAGAGAAAAACCTCACACATAAAATGAACGAATATTCTCCTAATTTTAGGGGCACAGAACGCTGAGGGTGTTAAATTACATGGCTATGAAAACAACTGGACAAATACACAGAATAAAAATTTGTCAAGGGCTATTAAATTAAAAACCACTTCTTCTCTGGTCTTGGGAATTCACTAAACTGCAAATCATGGTAACCTAGGGAAGCATTTCTGGGGAAATCTCTCCTCTGTCTAGTTTTCCTATGCATCTGTTGGTGACCACATTTGGAGAAGGATACTGGTCAAATCCATGATGGTTGTTCCTAGGTTGTTCCTAACCATACAAGTGTCCCAGCAGAGCATTCCCATAACCAAGTATGCTCAGTTACTTGTTTATGCCCTTGCTTTTACACCACTTGAAGTTGTATGTCAGATAACATCTTAGTTCTGGGCCTGTGCATGTGCTTGCTCTGTTTTTCCAGAGTGGATGGTACCAGATTGTGCCAGTAAACCACAACTGCACTTTGTTTCTTTGCCATTTCACAGATGACAGCAGCTGGTGACATCGATAGATGAGAAGGGGAGAAAAGAGAAATCAAAACTGGCAAAGCAAATCTGTATGATAAAAGAGAGGTGTTTTTAGCTGCCTAGGCAATTAAAAAACAGGTAGATTCAGACAGCTTATTAGGCCAGCTCAACTCAAGCATACCAAGCCCTTGCAGCTTGGCTGCCTCTCTTCTGAAAGTAAACCACAGCTTTCTTATGGGACTTCACATGTTCTCAATGAGATGGGGGAAGGAAGGAGTACAGGTAAAAACAAATAAATTGGCACAACTCCGGTTACCTGTACTGACGATTTGTGTCATTGAAAAATAAAGATTCAGACTCTAGCCAAAACTGTTTTCACAAAAATCTTCTGTTTTAATAATAGTTTACCTTTAGCTCTATTTAAGATTTAGCTCTATTTAAGATAATTAATCTGTAGGTAAGAAAAAGTAGTGATGGCTGCAGAAAAGAAGTGTGATCTTTTACCAGAAAATAAACGCTTTCTACAGACTACTGCAGTTGACAGGGCACAAGATTAAAGAGTGGCAGATTTTGTGTCTAAAACACTATATAAGCAAGTAAAGAGAAATGGGCAACATTCCAGGCATAGCTGGTGATGAGTGGCCTGGACTGACCCATGCTGAGAAATTATTTTATCTCAGAAAATCAAGACAGGCAGAAAACAGCTGCTGTGTTGGAGAGGCTGGAGGTCTCATCACACCTGGGCTCATGGCAGCTGTCTTTAACAGGTCCTAGCTCCCCAAAGAGACTTTTCCTCCAGGTATTGTGCACATGCCTTGTTGGTCTCCTTCGCTCTGTCTACCCCCAGCATGGCACCTGCTGTCTCAGAGGGAAAGCAGCAATCATATTTTGTCCTGATTCTCCCCATCGCTTCCCAGTCAGAGCAGCTGAACATGCCCTTGAAATGTGACTTTGGACAAAAGGAATTCTCTTATGTTTCCAGTGTTTAAATGAACGGATTAAAAGAAAGCTCGCTACACATCGTGTAGTTCAGAACTGCTCATATATTGCAGTCCACTTGTGTGACTGCAGTCACTAAGGCAATTCTTTACCAGCGATACAATTCCTACATAAGTCCTGTCCAGGTAGACATACAGACATGTCTTGCATTCAATGTCTCTGTGTAGTTGTGGTCTTGAGGTCTCTGAACCTGGCAGCTAATGTTAATCTACTGTGAAAGACTGTCCTGCAGTTCTCTGTCATTCGTTGGTTCTGATTTTACAGTGGTTCTCTGAGAATTCAAAGAAGGTGAAAGCTACTGAAAGCTTCCGTGCAATCTGGAATAGATTAGTGTTGGACAAGTTTCTGCTTTTGTCTAAACCAGATTCTTCCACTTAATTATTCTCATACTAGCACATTTTCTAGCATTTCCTTGCAGGCAGGCTAACTCTGACAGCATATAGGTGCCATGCTTGGCTCTTATCATGATGGGAGCAGAGTTTGTTCTGCACTTCTGAGAGCCGCCTCATCCCAGGTTCTGTGCGAACAGGTTAGAAGCCCAGCAAGAGACATCAAAGGTAAACACTGTGGCTCACAAGATAATTGAAAATGCCTTCTTTAAAGCCACTAGTTGTCAGTGACATTTGCTGCACTTTGTCTCTTCGCTTCACACTCGCATACTTTTGACTTCGATTATGCCTCTGCAGAAACAGAAGTGAACTTTTGTTACAGAGGCATTACAGACAATTTACAGTACCATATAAAAATGTATTTTTGTTGCAGTTCATCAAAGCCAACACCATATTAATTTAGCAGTTTGGAAAAATTACAAGTAATTTGATCCTTAGTGTTGATTAGTAGCTGAAATTCTGTCAAATTAATCCTCAGGACAACATAGGAGGTCTCGGCTGGGGACTTAGCTGATTGAAATTTGAGCATTATTTAGACCTGAATTAAAGTGTATTTGCAAAAACTGAGAAACTAATACAATTACATCTTCTTGTCAAGCCAAGGTGTTAGAAGTAATTCAGGTGCTTTGACTGCAGGCCAGATCGAACAGTTTACAAAGGAATCATGCTGCATTAGTCACTGAACATACATAGTGTTCAGCAACTTAAAGGTCAAATATATTCATGAGAACATGTTATCTTGTGTATGTTTGGTCAATGAATATGAAGAAACTGTCTGTTAGAGAAGATCAGAATATTGAAAGAAAAAACATGGCTCAAATTTAGATGGGCAATGCGGATGTTATTCCAATGCCAGATTTCTACGAAGGAGTTTCAAGAACACTTATGAAAACTAAAGGATATATTTCAGCCTTGCGAATTTAAATAGGTACTATGCTGCCATACGGCAGAGCTGCTTTCAAAGCAAATGCAGAGTTTTTGATCTTCTGAGAGACCAGATGGCAAAGAGGTTGGTATCTAGAAGCTGTCACACCTAGCAGTCAGTTCTATGGGACAGAAAGTCATTTTAATCTGATAGCTTTTCAGTAGTTTATATAAAACACAAATAATGTGTGCATTTATTTCCCAAGCAAACAGAAAAATATGTAGTAAGATCCTTGTAATAAATTATACTTGTTCTTGTGCAGTCAAAATTTGATGCACCAGAAATGTGAATTATCACTTTTCACAGGAAGTGATCCTTCTATCTTCAGGGACTTATCAGCAACAGGTGTGTATTGTGCAAACCTTCCTGTGACGTAGGAAAACCCATACTGTAGCAGTGCTGAGCAAATGCTTTCCAAAAGCATTACAGCTACTTAAAACAAATGCCTTTTACATTTCTAGAGCAGGTGAGGAAGAACTGAGCACAACATAAGATATCACCCAAACCAGATGATAAATGCTATATTTGTCATTTGTCTCCTAATAAAGACTCCAGAACAAGCTCCCACAGAAATTCCATGACAAGGTGTGACCAGACCTCAGTCAAATTTCTAAAGAGTATCTACATTTGTGTTTTTGTTGAGAGCAGTACTAAAATAAGTTCCCCCAGCTGTCCCCACTTGCTGTGTGTTGGCTTGCATCACAGTGTGCTGTCAATATACAGAATCTGACTTTCTTTTGAATGAAGTTCTGCACCAGATGCCCACCTAGTGAACACTAAGTCCTCGTGGGAATAGGAGGCTCCAAACCAGCGAGTGAATTCACTGCCATGAAATTTTATGGCATGTGTGGAACATGCATGCACCAACAAAATATGTTTTCTGAGGCTTCCTTTTCAGTTTTGGATTAGGGTTTCCGGGTTTGGCCATTTGACATGAGAAAAAACTATGCAAGGAAAAAAAGAAAAACATCAAACATAAAAAAGCAAAAAATTTTCTTAGTCTTCTTTTTCTGGAGTAAAACAAAAACATCTGATCCAAGCTGCTTCTGACAATCTTAGCTGCTAACTTTCCTTTTGTTCAATTAATGGAATTCTCCCCAGTTCTTCACAGAGCTACATTTTATTCACATCTTAGAAAAGTTTCAGGGCTTCCTATTTGGGTGTCCTACTTAAAACCCACACAGACAGTGAATAGTTTCTCACAAGAACTCTGGATGGAGCAATTTTTGTTAGTTCCTAGCTCACCTTTGTGATTGCCATGGTACAAGAGTCATGTCAGTGCTCATGTTGCCAGTTGGTTACCTAACTACAAAAGCTAACAAGAGTTAGAAGTTCCCATCTGAAAAAGCACACTTAATATATTGGTTTTGCCAGAATAAATTTGATTGCAATTATTACAACTAACCAGAATACAGAGAAAAACACCAACACCCTGTGATGGCAAACCCAGCCTTTTACTCAACAGCCATTTAGAAAGAGAAATGTTAATCAAGTGCCTCTGAGGAAGAGTTTTACCAATTCCCCATTTTCACTTTTATTTTTACTTCACCTATTACAGTGTATCCTTAATCATCCTAAAAAGTCCTTCATCTTCTCATTTTTGCTGTGTTCCTCGTTATTTCCTGTAATTTTATTTTCTGATGATTTATAAATTTAATAAAACACATGTAAATAGTTACTATAGATAATGCAGTCGAACTTCATTAAAAAAATGCAGGAAATTATAATAGCATTATAGTGCACCAGAGTGGAAAGACATTTACTGCTGTTCTGTATTCCTGCTTTTCTGAAAAAATACTTATTATCCAAAAGTACATCTTAAAATATCATATCCAATCATATATGGGCTTATGTCACACCAACAATTAATCTGTTTGCATCTTTAAATTCAATCTTGTACTCAGACTGAGCTCTGCACCTATATTAACTATCTTTAGGCCTCTCAGCAGCCATTCTGCTTCCTTTAATTCAGATTACTTTATTGTGAAACTTCAGTACCACCTACAGAATTTTATCCAAGATTTGTTCACTATCTAAATTGTGACTAAAAGGTATAATACTTGTAAAAAAAAATGTTCTTCTGACCTTACAAAGCAATTTAGTACACTGTATCTAAATAGTTTGTGTATTTACCATACATTCACTCGATGAAAAACTTATATACTAGTCTTTTGACATAGATGTTCTGTAGGAAATAGCAATAGTATTCAACATTGTGTTATGTGGGTCAGGCACAAATGAAGAGTACAAGGTCACATCATGAGAGGGATAACACTTGCTGGAGCTGTAAGACAGAAACAGTTGTTGCCACTTATTCCCCAATGTTATGACTTTTGTCAGTGTTGTTCAACCTTTCCAGCAGATGATATAAGTACATTTACAGCACCATTCCCTGTGAACCTGCTTTACTGAAGAGGCCTGTTTTTCCAAAGGGACATGTTTTGAGATGCTCAGTCCTGCTGGGTCCAGTTCCACTGGTTTCAAAGGTTTTGGAGTCTGTATCAAAGGCTATCTTGCTAGATGTTTCACCTCTAACACTATTGTCCAAGCAATCATGCAAAATATCCTTTTCTGCAGGTAAATTTGCTTGGAGGCTTACGGGATGCCTAGAATTGCTGAGATCAAAAGTCTGTTTAAAGTGCTGTCCAGGGAAAGATCATGACTCTGCTAAGACAGAGGCCAGTGCATTCTGACACTGGTGTGGTCCCAGGGAAGGCAGTGCCAACCCAGATCAGGGCAAAGAGGCATGAAGATTCAGTCATCGTCTGTATGTGCAATGTTTGCTTTATTAGTGACACTGACAGGGATACTATGACTTTGTGGACTGATGGCAATACCTATAATTCCCTGGGGTACAGACTGTGAGGCAAAAGCCCCAAACAGCTGTACACAAAGCCATCCATGGACAGCTGGGAAGCTATGTCAAATAAGGCTACAGCTGAGCTCAATTATATATTTGATAATTGTCATCTAGAATTGTAAGATCCACCTTGATGGCTGCCAAAAACTGATCATCTGTTAAGCAATAGGAGGCAGGGGTTGGCTGTCAACAGAGCACTAGCAAATGTGGGGCTCTAACAGTGGCATACAGGCACTGGGACAGGGGTGACAGGTCCTCACAAGTGATTATTCCCATGCAGAAATTTGAGATACCCTATCTATTCTCCTAGGCAGGAAGGACAATGGGGTGCCACAAGAATAATACTGTACTGTCTTTCTGCCTTCATCTAAGGAAAGGTGGTGGGAAGTCTCCTGGATCCGTGTGGCCCCAGCATGGCATGCTGCTAGCAGAGCCTGATGTGGGAGAATGCAAGGACACGTGCATAACTGGGGAGCTCCAGTGCCCCAGGTGAGATATGCTGCCCTGGCACTGGGAACAAACATTGGCCACAGGCTCTGGCACTCTTGAAATACCTGACTGAGCAAGCCCTAGCCTGGACACCAGCACAAAACCCATGGGAATCACTGTCACTTGTGGGCAGATAGAAGGGGATAGGGGAGGCGAGTATGCTTAAATAAAGCCGCCTCTGCCCTGTCACCATGCACAGGCATAGGGTGTGAAATCAGGTGACTCAACTGTGGGGAGGGGATTATACCCCTGTTTTCTCCAGTTCATTTGCGTGGAAAGGAGTCAGATCTAGCTGTGTACAGGATCTCTGTCTGTGGAACAAAGTCCGAGTTCACAAATGTTTAAGTGGCCATTTTCTCTGTTTGCACTCAAGGCTGCTGTGCAGAGAATAAGCACACAGTGCATTAAGATGTCTGTAACAGTGCAAGACAACTGAGCCAAGCTGAGCAATTTCGCAGCCATTTCAACATGATTCTCCTCTGAAAATCTCAAACATCTTCAATACAGGAAAAAAAAAAAAAAAAAGTAAGCAGCTTTACTTAATGGGAAAAGCAAAAGCTTTAAGCAAAGAATTCTTTTTAATGAGCTAAATATCACCTCATACTGCAGCCCAATCTGCCCATTACATGAGGATGACATCTGTCTGTGAATGATCAAATTACCTATGTGCAGGACTGTTGTCCCTGTTAGATAACAGCGTAGTTCTGCCCAGATCGTCCCTGCTGCGGCAGGTCCTTAGAGGGTGCTAATCTATTACACAAGCTGGCTATGGGCTCTATTCTTTTATTTCAGAAAAAAAATGGCCACATTTGTAGTGCCATTTAAACCAGCAGGCTTTCACTTTATCGCCACGTCCCCCACATGTTTCTCAAGATATTACTTACATGATATAAATAGAAAACCTCCATCTATAGCACCTTAAAACTCCCTAGAGGGTGCTAGCAAATATCTACCTCCTTCTTCAAATTTCAGTACTATGTAATTTCTGCCTTTTTAAAAATAAATAAATACAAAACCAAAGCTATTGGAAAACACTAATTACTGTACATTCTTTCAAGCTCCTTCATACTGTGGTCTAGCTTCTGGACTATGACAGAAATATGAAATTAGCTTTAGCTGGTATGTTTAAAGCAGCTTTTATTTTTTCTTATTTTATTTAATGTTATCGTTTAAAAACTTTCATTTACTGTGTTCAAGCACTTTCTGTAAAAGGTTGTTCTTTCTTGATGCTCTCCCTAAAAGTAAGCAGCATGGCTGTATAGAGAAGAATAATTCTTCAAAACATATTCAGACACATACTGCCAATTTTCCACGAAATGGATGCCCCCCCAAAATATGCCAGAACTTCCCAAACATTCAACATTCTCCCAGAAATCAAAGACTCGAGTGTCCTCACAGCCTCTCTGTGCATGCTTCTGTCAAGGCAGCAAAGTTCAGATGTCTCTGCAATTCCCACGGCTTAGTCTTTACTCCTGCACTAGGGGATATTTATTTCTCCATTTCCACGCAGGGCAAAACAGGAGGCAGCAGAAAGCTAATTGCCACAGACTCAGCCTCCCATTCACCTACAGCAGCTGAAACCCTGCAAGTGGGCAGGGTGAGCAACGCAGGATGAAACCACAACATTCCTCTGGAAGAATAGAGGGTGTTGGTGTCTGCTGGGGCAAAGGTAAAGTTGTCAGCTCAGGATCTGAAAAATCATGAAACCTACAAATCTGCTGACCATCACTGGCAGCTGTTTTAACTGCACAAGCCAACTATGGAAGGGGGAGTTATTTATAATGGAGCCCAGTGCAAAATCATGATGCTGACCAGAGTGACACATGCAGCCCTGGAGGTTTCTCACCTGCAGCCCAGGAGTCTGGGTAGAGTCCAGAACTCCCCTATGTTTGTACCAACATGAGGGGTCACATGTGTTAAATATGCAAAAACCACAATATTGCTTTTCCCTAAATTTTGACCTTTGTCCCTCAAGTATTGATTTTGTCAGGGTGACCACCAAATATCATCTCTTTCTTCGGGAGAAATAACAGGGATAAGACTGCTGAGTGACTGACTGTCTTTCCTGTCTCTGTCCAATTAAAATCTCATTTGTGGTACTGTTATTTCTAGATTGTTATCACTAGATCATTTTTTTTTTCCATTTTATGTAGGTTTTGAGGATATTAGCGTGTTCAAATAAAATGTTAGAAGATAAATCTGAAGCATAGCTTTCAGTAAACAGGTGCATTATTCATTCAAATTTATCAAATTAGACAGCAAGATAACAATCTTTTACAGAAATTAAATATATGGTCAAGAATGTCTGTAAATTAGCAGTCATTCATCCTTATTCTTCAGTGCCCTGTGCAATGCTCTGCATAAAATTAGAAGACTTCTCTTTCAGAGAGATCCAACCATTTGATTTACTTTATAAAATGGTTTAAAGGAGACAATTTACAATGCTTTATCGTAATTTTTGATTCAATCAAGGGAAAAAGCATTATTTTTGGAGTATATAGTATCTATTTCATGTATATATATTGCTCTGGTTGGGTCTGGCAAGAAAAGAGTTCTATAAATCAACAATAAAAGAGTGACATTTAGAAACTGCAAATCTGAAAGAGAAATATGTTGCTGTTCTATTAAGGAGCTACACTAGCTGCCAACTCTTGCAAAAACTGGAAGGTTGCCACTCCACACACTTAAGTGTCATACAAGCATTGAAACAACTTATATTGCTGTTAGAAAGATCTGCTGTTAGAAAGAACTGTGCACAAGACCACCAAGACCTTAGACAACGAGACCACACTAATTCCTTGAGACCCTTTAGTTGAAATGGATGATCTCCAGGGTCCTTTCCAACCTAGATGATTCTATGATTCTATGAAATACAAAAGAGATATCAAAGGTAAAAACTGAAGGGAATGAACAAATCATAGAGGTGAGGCTCACTCAAATAAATTAGGCGGTTCAGTCCTGAACCAGGTGGCAATATTTCCATAATGAAGAGCCTGATCAAGCCTTTACATGCCCCTGCTTTCATTTGGCACGGGAATAATTTTCGTTTTCAGTTAGCTGTGCGTTCAAACTATCAAAGACACTCATGGCTTTGTCATGAGGTAGTAGTCTTCTCAATGTGAGAGATATTCTTTGAACATTTGGTAAATATTTGATTTGTGTTTATCATATGTGGCATCTCCTTTATGTGATGGACATGGAAAAACTCTACTCCACAATTAAATAGATGGCTATGTAGAGAAAAGTTAAACAGACAGCAAAATAATCTATAGCTCTCTCACTGCTGTCCCCCTCCCATTTTCTGTTCCCCATGGTGCTTGAGAAAATGACTCAAAGCCAAATATTTCTTTGGGCTTTGCTGCTGATCAGACTGTTCCTATCTAAGGAATCCAAACTTGACAGCTGCTTTTGGTGCCATCCCTTCATTTGCTCTCTTAGCAATCTGCTCTGTCTTGTAATATCCTGTGGAAGAAAGAAGGAAGGAAACAAGGGATTACTCATGACTGCGGGCTAGAAAAGCAATGGCAACCGTGAAGTGCTTTTGCATGATCAATCTATTAGACACTTCTGTTAGCAGATTTCACTTGATTGAAAGTCTGCTTGGGTCAGGTCTTCTCCCAGCCAGTCCTGTGAAACTCTTCTGAAGACAGAAAGGGTGCAGAGATGTGATTCTGGTCGGAGAGGTGCCCTCCCTTTCTTGACTGATTGTGGTTTTTACGACCTCTCTCAGTCCTTATACTACTGAAGTGTGCTTTTAAGAATAATTTTACACTGAGGTTACACAGGTCTCTTGTTCACCACATTTTCATTCTCACTAGCACTGGTCAGAGTGTGATAATTATGTTTCATGACAAATGTGGAGATTTTGATTCTAGAGTGAAATTAAAAGATGTGTGGAGATATGTTTGGTTTACTAGAGGGGAGAAGGAAGAAAGGTGAGATAGTGAGAGTGATCATTAGTGATATCTGAGGATATTCATTGATGTTGAAACGAGAGAAGTCTCTTGGATATCAGATTCAGTATTCAGAACAAAAAAAACATCTTAGCTTTTGCATATGGGAGGGAAGAAGGGGATGTGCCTGCTCTCACTATGGGACATTGCATACCATGTCCTCCTAGTCCTAGTCTTACACTAATCACTCTGAGACCCGTCAGTCTCCTGCCATCCCCGGTGAAATCTTCTCCTCAGAAGATTTTGGTGAAAAGCTCCCCATCATTTCTAGTTGTTCGTGATGTAATTTCTGCCATGCCACATCCTGATTGGGCACTGACATCAATGTTGCCAAGTTATTTCTTTGTCATCAGGGTAACACAGACAGTCTTATAAAATCTCAGGCCAACATCATATTGGTTATTTTTAGCTCTGCAATATAAGAAAAGCACAGAGGAGTTGGCGCTGTCACTTCTGTGAGATTCATGCATGGTCACCAGTTTAACAACTTTATTTTTACCTACCCAGGGAATCACATGAAATCATGATGAAATAATTTTTGCTCCCTCTTTCTGTTATTTAGAGGTGAGAGCTCTGTGCTGCAACAGATGTACAAGCAGAAGAGGAAAGAAGGAAAGAGAGAACAGGTGTGTGCTAAAGGACACAGCCTCATGGGCACTGCTCCATACAGCATCTCTCATCCTCAGCTGTCCAGATGCCCTTCTCCCTCCCAATGCTGGATGCAGATCTGCCTGAATGAAGTTCAATTTTAGAGGAATCATGCCTGATTTCCACTTTCATGGAACCTGCCATGGCTCTGTTTGGTACTCTGGCAATATAAAGGGCCCTTGAAGTGTGTGAGAATGTAAATGACACCCTTTAAGGCCTCTTTACAGTGTTTAAAAGGGCTTATGTGTAAATCGGAATCAGATGTAACTGTTTACAAACAGGTACAGTATAACCTGGAGTAATGGAAACTGAAAAATCCTTCCACTGATTTTTATTGCCTAGATTCAGAGTAGTGGAAAAATGGATGATGAAAGTGAGGGGTGATTCTTTAATGCGTAATAATTTACAGAAAGATGTGCTTAGTGCGATTCAAGGAAGCTTCTTGCTGATACACTTCAGGATCCCTATCTTTGCATCCTCCAGACCATCATTTTATTAATGTCAGGTCAACACCTAAGAAAGACTCTCTGCTGTAGGCACAAATTCTGCTTAAAATGAAAGTGCTTCCCTTCCAGGATGAGAAGATAAGCCAGACAACACCGCATAGGAGCCATCCGCTCCCTGAATGTGTAGCCTTTGTCACATGAACTCAGGACTCGCTCTCCATCCCCAGCAGCAGCAGTGCTTCCTTGGGCATCCCCAGAATAACAGCCTAGCACAAGCTGCCCGTTCCTCTTTGGAGTAGCTGCAGCCCCCAGTAGTGTGTCCTCAGCTTCTTTCCCCTGGGTATGTTCATCAGCAGGGTACTGCTGCCTCTGTGGCATTTCCAAGCAGATTTCTCTGTGTGCTGATCCTGGTAATGTTTCTGTGGATGCCTCTGCCATGGTGCTGCTCCCTGCTAGGGAGGGGCTGTCCTCAGCCTTGTTCCTGGGGACCCACTCATTTATGAATTCATGTTTTTAGGAACATCTCTTATAACAGAGATTTTTCAAAACCCAGCCATTT